ACCGAACAGAAACATGGCCATACCGTTCACGTACACAAGGATGTTTCGGCGGGGAAAGCAGGTACAGTACATTCAAAGATAAAAAAGACACAAACGGCCTGCTGTCTGACCACACACTCACTCACCCCTAAGCCTCCTCCAGTAGTCGCACCGCGAGGAGACTGAAAACACCTACCGCCCTCTCAAGAAAAGACAGACGCTCATGACTACGCCCGGAACCAATCCCCAGGACACTCGAAACACCTGTAAAGTACTGACGAGCCGAGGCGTGCAACAACTAACATTAACTCAAGAAACTCTATAAGTCCGTTTACACCCGGCTGCATCGAGCTAGAGGGTACTACTGGCCAAGGCTGCCTGCCCACCCCGTTCGCCACAACGCTGACAAAAAGAAGGCTGCTTTATCGTAGTACGGCCATTATCGTACCGGGAAGGCTATTTAGCCTCCTAAATATCGCTCCGTGTGCGTGGAAAGCACGGAAGTCTCACAAGAATCCGGGCGCCGTCCTAGCTGTGTGGAGCCCGAACCAAACTATCATATACCGTAGTAAAAGCAACCAAGATTAATGATTGTGAGGGGGTGACACATGTCCGTCTAAAAGTCAAAACATTCAACAATCGAGCGCCCGCATCAAAAACGTACATACGTGCCGAGACCCACGATACTTATCCCCGGGGGGGGGGGGGGGAAGGGGTGTTTAAGCGCGAAACGTCCCCAAACGACCACTGAACCTCCCCATGAACCACACCCGCTAAATTTGCCTGCGTCGAAGCTGGACGCTTGCTCGTAAGCTTTAAATGTCACAAGCTTGACAGCTATACCTCAACAATCGGGCCTCTTTGGGCTACCGCCCCTATCGGCCGAACCTTGATAATAAACCGCGTAGCGCCGAAATCGTCGGCATCGCCAACAAATAAAACGTGAGCACAGACAGGAACACGGAAGAAACAAGAATACAATTAAAACCAATTTTATGTTTTGAGGGCTGGTGAACAAGACACACGACAGGCTCCACCCAGGCCCAACATGGATATATTATGGCGCTCGCGCCTAGCCTTCCCTTTGTATGAATCATGCGGCGAGCGCAACAGCAGCGCTCGGCTTCGAACACCACTGGCAGGTGGTCTCCGCGGCAGATTAGCTAAGCTATCGCGACACACGACAAGCGGACAAGCCCCCCCCCCTTTTTTGCTAGATTTCAATAAAAACCTAGTCATCCAGCAGCATGCCGACAAGGTCAGCGCACACTGCCCCTCCCGCCTCGCCGCCGCCACCGTCGCCGCTACCGCCACCGCCGCGGCCACCGCCGCCCCCCACGTGTCGGTTTCGGTCTGTCCCATCGCCGACTACCCGCCCCCCGCCGCCGGCATCATCGCCACGCACAGCAGCCCCCCAGCTGTCGCCGCCGCCAATACCTACGTTCACTGCCTCGTCCAGCTGAAGCTGGTGATAATGTTGAGGCTCGCCGCCGCCGCCGCCGCCGCCGCCGCCGCTGCCACTGCCACTGCCACCCCCGATTCTGATCGCCATTGCTTCGTCCGATTCACTACCGCGGGGGCAGCCTTCCTGTTTCCACAGGGACTGCTGGGGGGGCTCCTTCACGAAATCACGCCCACCATTGCCACCCGCCGACGCCGCCGCTGCCGACGCCGACGCCGCCGACGGCGGTAGCACGCTCTGCAGCATCTTCTGGTCCACGCCGACCGGGGCACACGAAGACGACGCGTCCAAGAAGCCATGCTGCTGTTCCGCGGTTGCCTCGGTTCGAGACGCCCGGGCGGAGCCCGCCCAACCACCGGCAGCCGGCGAGGAGACCGGGAGGCGGCCTTGGACGTATGGGTGGTGAGGGCCCGGGGCGAGAGGGGGATATCCGTACACATTCCCGCCGTCGCTTTTGTCCCTCCTTCCTCCGCCTCCTGCTTGGCTCCTTCCTCCCGCTGTTCCGGAGGCAAGCGTCCACGGTTCCCGAGGGGTCGAATCGTCAAAGAGCTCGCCATCTCGCCGACGGGTCCAACGGCTGCCGCCGCCGCCGCCGCCGCCGCTGCCGCTGCCGCTGCCGCCGCCCGCGCCAAACTGCTCCCAACCCGGTCTCGAATCGGACGACGCCACGCCGCCGCCATACGACGGAACTGGTGCCGCCGCCGCCGCCGCCGCCATGAACTTGGGCGTACCACTGGTGCCACCGTGCCTTGGCGACAAGGGCCGGCGGCGGCGGGGAGGAGCCGCGGCGGAGGCTTCTACCGTCACCCCGAGGCCCACGGCGCCGGAAGACAAGCCCATGGCCGCCGCCACCGGCAGCGAGTCGTTGCCGCTCCCTCCTCGCCCTTGCTGCAGTCGGCGGCCCCCGCCCCCGCCCCCGCCCCACCCAGCGACGGTGGTGAGGCCACGGAAATGCCCTCCGCCTTGGTCCGTCTGCAGGCCTTGTTCCTTTAAGGCCCGCTGTTGCTGCTGTTGCTGCTGCTGTTGCTGCTGCTGCTGTTGTTGTTGCGGGTGCAGCAGCAGCCGCTGCCTGCCCCCGCCACCGACTCTCTCTTCCTGCCCAAGGGGGAACGCCAACCCCGCCGCCGCCGTCGCTGCCGCTGCCGCCGCCGTCGCCGCTGCTCCGAACGGCGACGTCGACGGCGGCTCCGCGAAGCAGTCCAAGACGCCCGCCGGGTCTTTCCCCGACGCCGCGACGGCGGGGTCCTCCCAAACGTCCGTCCGCCAAGTCGCCGCGTCCACGGCGGAATCGTCGGACGGCGACGACACAGCGGCCCTGGGCGTGTACGAAACCTCCTCCTTGGTGGTAGCGACGGCAAGCCCTCGGCACGCTTCCTGCAGCCGGGAGCCCGGCCCGGTCATCGCCGCCGCCCCCGCCGTCGCCTCAGAAAATCCGCCGCCCCCACTGCTGTTGTCACTCACGTAAGGGGAGAACGGGGGGCGGGCGGCGAAGTCGTGGCCTTTGCCCTGGCTCGACGCCTGCCTCACGGGAGGAGGATGGGGGTGAGGGTGAGGGCGCTGCCGTCGCCCCGGACCTCGAGTAGCAGCTTCTCCTGCCTCGCCGCCGAGCTCTTTCACGCTACCAGGCAAGCTCGGGGCCGCCGATTCGCCGCAACCCCCACCGGTGCTGCCGACGCTGCTGACGCTGCTGATGCTACTAACGCTACGCCCGCCGCCGCCGCCGCCGCCGCCGCTACTCGGCGAAATTCCCGTCGTGAAGATCGTATCGGAGCACATCCAGCACACGTCGGTGCTGCAGATGGCGACGCCCACGCCGAACTCGTCGAACGTGACCATCGCCTGCTCCGTGGCCGCCACAACCAGAGCCCTGAGGGCATCGAACGACTTCCTGCGATCGTACAGCTTGAACGCCGTCAGCGCCAGGTGGGCGTTGTGGAGTGAATAGTGTCTTTTTTTGTCCCAGGCGGCGGAAGGAAAAAAAGCCAAGCCGTACAACGGCAACACACGACGAGGCGAGAACCACGGGGGCAGCAAAACGAGCAGGGGGGGGGGGCGGGGGCAGGAAGATAGTGAGAAAGGGAGTTTGGGGATATTCCGGCGTGGCGGGAGGTTCCGAAAAAGCTCACAGCAGCATTTTCATCGTCTGGAATAAATTAACACAACTCCGTCACAACCCGTCTAGCCCGTCGTTTTTCCCCTCCCCCCCCCCTCACCTCAACAAGCCGGGGCACTTGCAGAACATCGCAAGCACTATCTCAGCCACCGGAAGCATGCCTTCAGACGTGCCGATCCTAGACTTGGCTGCTATCAGGTTTCCCGCCAGGGTGGTTAGCACCTGAAAAGGAACACAATAATGAGCGGCGCAGCGTAAAATCCACAAACAACATATTAGATTTCAGCGGCTGGATAAAAACTGAATGCCCAAAGGAGTGACTGCCTGACTGGCTTCGGTGGGAAGAACGGACGGACGGACGGACGGACGGACAGGCGAGCGGGCGGGCGAGAGGTTAAAACAGAACAGTTTTCTCACGCATGATTCCTAGCTGCTCACCAGCGCGCCCGCTTGCTCCTTGAAAAGACGGTTCAACTCCGAGCTGATCAAGTCGTGGACGTTGGCCCAGCCCGTCCTCACATCCCCTTCCATGCACACGAAGCGCAAGACAAGCGTCATCGCTGCCGTGTGTAGACACACAATGGTACCCAAGTACAATAGCAAAAAAACGTCGACAATGATTGGGCGGGCGGACAAGGCGGACAAACAAAAAAAACGATAAAATTAATACTCCGTATCGTACATTGTACAGCAGTATGCGAAAGCGCCTACTCCTCGAGTCGAGCATGGGCCAAAGGGCAGCCAGGATGCGAAACCACTGCACTCACTTGCTCCCTGGGGCCACATCAAAAACCAACACCTCATCTTGCGGGTTCGACGGCAAAAACAGGTTCACCCTCGCGCTCGCGCTCTTAGGCCGTGCGGGTGGTGGTAACTTGGTCCATGGGCGAAAGCAGTTATTTTCCAAGCTCCGCAATGGAGTTTGAAACGGAACCGTTTGAAACGGAACCGTTTTCAAACCACATGCAGCCAAGGTCGTTCAATACATGTCACGAGCTTTCGCTATTGATGCCAACCAACCGTTTCAATCGTTTCATACGACAAGTACAGATTTTCCATCGGAACTGTTTCCTCACACGACATGTATCCTACACGGAGTATTAGCATACAAATGGTCAATGAAAACTTGCCATCTCGACTATAGAAACTACACCCCTTTCACTCTGTCAGCGAAGGGTCGTCCAACACACGTCATGTAACGAGCTTTCGCTCTTGGTGCCAAGAAAACGAGACAGATCCCGGGATGAGCGAGAGACGAGCCGCGCGCGTTTGCTGCAATCCAATCGCACAGCAGTTCACTACATCTCGCGCACATAGAAACGAATGAGAACCACGTTGCAAATCCGAGCGTTGGCAAGCGGGCCTCTCAAGACAAATTCAACCAAGTAGATTATTGATGCTGATCCTACGTTGGAGTCTTGGTCCGACGCGGGGCGGGGCGGGGTCAGGGTGTTCAATTGCTTCGGCTGGGAGGGCCCCTCGGCGCTGGAGAATGTTGCCGGCAAGAGGGTACCCCTTCCCGGAAAAAATGCAGAGGCGTGTTTTTAGGTTTCTCTACAAGATCGAAAGCTAGCTAGCTAACCATGAAGAAGAAAGGGAAAGAGGCTCCCCCCGTCCAAGCTTGCGCGTGCAGACGGGCTCCTGTAAAGCACAACAGTTTCGAGCTTCGAAACCTACCACCCCCATATACCTGGGCCACCGGGTGTGTGCGTGGACACAGCTTTGTCGTGATGCGGCACGTGTGCACGCTCATCAGAGTCGAGCATGAGCCACAGGGGGCACGGCACAGAACCTTGTGTACACTGCTGTTGAGTTCATTTACTCGTGGCTCGACATCAACGTCTCTACAGGCTTGAAAAGGGAGGAGCACATGTACGTCCACTCGCGACCGCGCTTTCGAGCACCGTTCGCGCAGTGATGACCTACAGCGGCGGCACACATGCATGTAAGCAACCTCTACACGATCCTAAAAAAAGTAGAGGGACGCTTTTCACTTGACTGCCTCTGCGCTGCGCACGCTTGCTTCAGTCCGCACGTCAACAAAGAACTCCCTTCCCCACTCCTCCATTTTTTCGGCCTCCCACAAAGAAAAAACAAATCTTCACACTTGAAAACTCACAGTCTGCGACGACGTACGCGGGATGAGCGGGCTTTGCCGAGGACACGCGCATCGCGTCCGCTCCCTGCTTGGCCCCCGCCGTCATAGCACCCCCCGGCGTCTTCCACACCTGGTCGCCGCCCCCCTCTCCGCCGTCGGCGCCACCACTGGTGGAGGCATGGGCCGGTGCCGTCACGCCTCCTCGCCTCCCCGAGATGTTGACGGGGTTCACCGAGTACAAGGAGTCGGGCATGAAGGCCACGAGGTTGTCGCACGTGCCCCGGTACGTCATGAAGGCGTTGACGAAGGGGTCCTGCGGCTCCAGGGACCCGAACATCTCCTGGGCGTCGTCCATGCTCGACCGGTACTCCCTCTGCCCGTCGCCGTCGCACGGCGGCAGCAGCGCGTTCGCCAGCCCGTACAGGATGAGGGCGGCGACGGCGCTCTGCTCGCAGAGCCCGCTGCGGAACCTGCCCAGGCACTGCCGCGCCGCCGCGAGGTGGCGGGCCACGGTCACCGTGGGGCACCCCAGCATGAGGCCGCCTATGGCCATCGCCGAGAAGAGCGTGCACTCGACCGCGCTGCCTCGCATGACCTCGAGCTTGTCGATCGGCGAGGCCTCCGACGCCGACGCCGTCGTTGTCCACCGGCTCACGAAGGCGTGGACTAGGCCCTGCCGCACCGATCTCTCGTCCGCGACGGCGCACCTGCCGCCGGCCGGCCGGTCGGCGCGAGGTCGAACAAAAATACAAGAAATATACAAATGACTTTTTTTTTGCATGCATGCATGCATGGGTATTTGTAGGCGGCGCGGTGGCGCGATACAAGAAAAACACGCGCGCGACAAGCAGGTAGGTATGTAGGCGAACGAATAAGGTAATTGGGCAAAGCTAAAAAACAAACGAGGGAGAGGGAGAAAAGATCAGCCAAGAGAGACAGCGCGCTGGAAATCCCGTTGTCGACAGAAAAACTTGTGCTTCACATCAGATGCATAGATATATGTATAGACAATGCACGGTAGGTATTTACGTATTTACGAAGGCGGCATCATTACTATTTTTATTTTCTTGTGTACAACGCGGAGCGTCGTGCAACGCGATCAATTCTCTGTTCTCTCTAGCACATGCAGCGTTTCGTTTTCCCTGCCCAGTCGTACAGAACACTTTAAGCTTAAACGTGCGGAATTCGGCAAAACCTAACCTTAACCTTCACAACAACAACAACGAGCACGCTTTTCCCGCATGGCAGGCAAAATTGAATCTCTCTTTGTTGGGCTTGCGGGGCAGCCATTCTTCGGCTGCCTGCCTGAGAGCCTTCCGTGAGGCTCCGGGCGTGCTGGCATGAGGTTCATTTCCTTCTGTATCGCTGTAAGTAATCGATCGCTTTGCAGGAAAATCATACAAAAACGTCGGAGCAGCCGATGGCGGTACGCGCGCGATTCAGTGACAATCCGCCCTGGTCACAAGGGGGGCCTTTCGTCACGCGTCACTGCTGCATCGGGGTGTCACTTATCTCGAAGTACAATACTTCACACCCTGTACAACTTTAACTAATAACTAACTACCGGCTAGTTGCTCGTCACACCTAATAGTTGCGCACGCTCCTGGAAGAGTAGTTGTCTACAGGCAACTAGGTGCGCACGATTCTGGAAAAGTAGTTGTCTGCAGGCAACTAGGTGCGCACGCTCCAGGAAGAGTAGTTGTCTTCAGGCAACTAGGTGCGCACGCTCCTGGAAGAGTAGTTGTTTGGCGAACAACTGCCAACTAAAGTAGTTGTACAAGGTGTGCAAATACTTCACCGCACAGGTTGTCTGTCAACGCGAAGCTACATAAGTTTTCCTGCCGAAGGAAAAAAAGGAGTTTGATCGACATAGCCTATGGTTATCAAAATCCGAATGACATCACGCGTGACGGATGTATGCATATGCCTATTGCAAAAAGGCACATCAAAACCTGCGGGCAGGAAGGAGCTCAAGCACCCAGAAGCAGTTGAGACAGGCGCAAGTAATTCACGCCGCCTCGACTCAGAACTTAGAATCTCGTTGGTGTCGACTTTGGCCAGCAACGTTTTACCCAACAAGCAGCGAAGTGCCTAACAACTCGGCGACAGTGTGTACCGTTCCTTCCTTTGGTCGTGCCGTGTAAGAAGCGGTGAGGGGAAAGGAAAAAAAACAGCTAAAAAAAACACCGATCCCCCCTGGACTATGTAAACGTATTGCTTCGGCCTAATGCTTCTGTCACCCTACAGTCAGTACAGTATACATGGGTTTAGCCAAATAGTCCACATAGTCATCCAACAATCGCACACAACATCTTATACATGACATGCACAAACACACCGGCTGTATTGTTAAACTTTAGTGCGGGAGGACTATTTCGACGTGCTTGTCTCGCCAATACTGACGGCTTCTCAGTCTGAGCCTGATGGACGGTGCCAGATATGCATAGATAGATAGATGGCCAGCAAGAGACAACCAGAGCGCAGAGGCTCAGCGCCTCGGAAAATTCCGGCGCCAACCCATCCACCCAGGCTGCGCCGTGCAAGCTGTGGTTCCCAGGAGTTGAATTGAACCCTTTCGACCTCCTACACAAAAATATCGAGGCGCTCCTTCCCTGCGCAGGGGCGTCCCCCCCGGGTCGGGTCGTTGCAGGGGAAGCAGACGGCGCACTCGAGGTCAACGCAGCCACCTGCCACATAGGTAGCTTCAGCTTTGGTACCCCACTCTCTCACCCAAACTCACGCCCTCCTTGCTCTGTCTGAATAAATATGCAATCCATGCGCGCGCGTGGAACAGCTGTGGAGGAGAATAATCTGTTCTTGTGTCCGTCGGTATTTAGCACCAGGTACATGAGTACTTTTTAGTCGCTGTTTTTGGCAACACAGAAAAGCACAGCTTGCTGCGCAGAATATACGCAACATCAACCAGACACTGGTCTAGAGTGCCTCCTACCGGGATGCGGACGGATCCCCGTGCTGACTCCCGCCGTAGGTGTGGGGGCGAAGAATCAACATCCTGTGGTTGTATCTCGAACGCGGGTAGTCTTGGTTTTGCATGTACTTGCCAAAAACGCTCGTTGTGCACCAGGTCGACTTCTTCACCCGCGGGCAAAATACATCATGTGAATGTGCGTGCTTCTCTCTTTCCGACAGCAGAGAAAAGAGCAAGTTTCAATTTTCAAAGAGCTCGGGGCATGCGCGCGTAGCGTCCCATCGCCTAGGAGAGCAGGGAGGGCGAGGCAGAAAATGAGACAAACCGAGGACGAGCTCACATGGGGCTGCAGTGCTTCAGGAAGCACTCCAGGAAGCTGGACTCCTGAAGCCCACCGAGCCCGGTTGCGGAAGAGGACGAAAACGATGGACCCACAATTTCCGAGCAATGTTTCTCCGTCACTGGACCGTGCTGCTGCCGCTGCTCTCTTTTCACGTTCCCGCTTTGCTGCTGCTGCTGCTGCTGCTGCTGCTGCTGCTGCTGCTGCTGCTGCTGCTTCCGCTTCTTGGGGGACGGTATTGGTGTCTTCTTATCGACGCCCTTGGCTGACGAGGACGGCAATACCCGCAGGCGGCCCTGCTGCTGCTGCTGCTGCTGCTGCTGCTGCTGCTGTGTCTGCCTGCTGCTGCTGCTGCTGCTGATGCTGCTGACGCCGTTGTCACCGGCTCTTCGCACGGCACCCGCATTGATAGGGGAAGCAAGAGCGGGCGGCCGCCCTAGCTTCCTCTTCGCCGAGTACGAACATGAATGGGACCCACGCCTGCAGCGAAGGCAGGGCTGCCCACCAGGACAACGACGCTTCTTCACCCAGCACCGATCACAAGAGCTGCGGAGCTCGCCCCTGTTGTTCCCCTGGTTGACGGCGTATACCCCTTCGTCCTCCTTCCCTTGGGATGGTGGTGCAGCGTCGTCAACTACCAAGGTCGGGCACTTCTTTTTGGACATCGGCATAGGCGTGGGCAAGACGCAGGCAGTCCGAGAGTATAGGTGCGCTTCGGCCGCGATTGGGCAACCTAGTGCTTTGTGGTGTCCGTGAAAACAACATCTAAGTTCGTGGTGGTGCCTTTTCTTCTTTTCTTTTCGAGCTGCGAACCCCCCCCGTAGGCCGTATGTGTGCATACACACACGTCGAGGGTGCTTTTGCCACAAGATCACCATGTCTCTGCCCATAGGCATGAAATATGTGACTCTGTCTCTGTCTGTTCCGCAGCGGCAGCACCGCGAGCAGTTACACTCTATTATTCTTGTCGCAGCAGTGGAAAAAAGAGCGGGAGTTGAGATAGTCTAACTGAGACAAACGAACTAGAACAGACACAAACGCGCAACGCGCAACAACGTTGTTATCAGATCTCACATCTCACAACATCTATATGTACAAGCAGTATACATCCATCTGCGAAACTCTTCCGCACGATCTGTCTGCCGGTCTGCCCGTAGGGACGGATAGGTCCGCCGCTGCTGTAGATTGATTGATAGAAGATAGATCGAACAACAGGCGACCTGCATCCTAAAGCGAGCTCCACCAGCAAGAAATAAATGACGCGCAAGAAATCGCAACAAACATCAGCAGCAGACCATAATAATAATCAATCATGATTGATGATGATGATGATGATGATGATGAGGAGTATGTAATGTACAAAATTCGTTTTGTATGGATACGACATCGTACAGCTCACAGCATCCATCCGCGCACAGCAGTAGGTAAGGACATGAATATAAGACTGCTGTACATCCTCACTGCTCATCATCATGGTTGGTTGTCTTGCATAGAGGAGGAGCTATGCATAGATAGGTACTGCTGTAGGTTTTTGTCCTCTGGTTGGTCGCGGGTTAATTTTATTGCGGTCTCACTCACACTCACAAAAGAGGAGAGTTATTGGTCGATAAGAACTACCCTTAATTAATTAACCTTCTTCGCTGCTGAAACACTGCTTGCTGTAGGTAGGTCACTCAGCCACACTCAACTCTTGGACGCGGGTTCAGCGTGCACTGACTCTCTCACTATCTAGGCTACAGAGCCTTGTACTTCCTTTATCTACATATATATATTATAGTACTGTATCTGTTTATTTATCTGATTTGTGGGAAGGCTCCGAATGTTGTACAGCAGGCAGTAGTGTAGTAGTAGATCCCCGACAGGTCTTCTTCTGATGACGCAAAATCTATACACGGCCTTTGAGGATGATGAATACTAAAATGTGTGTGTATAATGGTAAACTTTTGCATCAGCCAGCTTTCGAGTTTCAAGACTATTCAAACAACAACAAAACCAACCTTACAATATGCGTATGAAGGAAAGCACCCCGAAAGCACCGCGCCGCAGCAACAAGCAAGCAGCGGGAAAGGGGAGCAAAAAAGTACACTGCCGTAGACTCTGGCTGTGTGCGCCGAAGCGGCAACACATCCCGGTAAATGCATACATCTAGTAGGTGTATTATTATATAGAGAGGCTGGCCCCCAGAAAAACGGATAGGATGACCCCCCCTAAAAAAAACAGGCTGGATAAGTAAGTATAGTGTGCATATTATTATGCACCACCTCTGTCATCGAAGTAGCACGACTGTTGCGACATATATAGACTACATACGACGGAGCAGGCCCAAATCTGATCGGGTTTGCGATAATACACAGAGAGCAGGACTGCCCAGTCAGTGCGTTGACCTAACATTCATTGCTGTGTGCTACATGCGACCCATCACTTGTGTTTAAATATTAATCCATGTGTACAAATATATGCGCCACAAAGCACTTTTACTACTTACTACTACGTCTTACATTACACGGGGGGGGCGGGGCGCGGTGACAACTACACGTACGTAGTACGTAGAAGCACGCTAAAACCACTGCGAAGATTACGATTTATACTAGAACCACAAACCGAGCAGGAAGACTGCAAAACTTTCCGATAACTCTTTCCAGAGTTCGACATGCGAAAACCTTGCTCCAGAGTCGGGGACAACAACATCGACAACAGCAGCAGCAGTAGTTTACCACGTACGTACGTCTGTCTGCCTACTACCGCGGTCATACGATATCAACATATGAAAAAGCCCGTTCGTTCATAACCCGCTCGCAGTCACACAAACATGCAACCGCTGTAGTATTAGACAAACTCACAAGACACATGTACTACGCCGCAACGACCGGAATCCGTACGCTCGGCGGTTCATCATCCAGACTACACTACGTCTGGTAAGTAATGAAGTAGCACCTCACGCGGATGGCCGCCCTACCAGCGGCTCCGAATTGGTGGATTCTCACCCCCACAAGAAAAAAAAGGGGACGGCGATATTTGTACAACAAACATTTTTACCCGAACGAAGATGGAAGACGGCAAAGACTAACAATAGGGTAGGATAGATAGGCGGGGACATGATGAGGGGTATAACGTCCCCACCGCTCTAGCAGCTGGTGACCACCACCGCCGTCGCAAATTGCTTTTTCTCAGTCAGGTATTCGTACAGAAAGCGTCACCATCACTCGCTGAAGAACCTGAGAGTGAGGAAGTCAAGAACTTGAGCCTACAATGCAGGACACACTCCTCAGGAACGCGACCGAAAGAACATGCGCTCAGGCAATAATGAGTCCCATACCAAAAACCTGTATGCTCCCATGTCCATATTGGGTAATCCCACAAAGAAAGGAAACAAGAAACAAACTATCCTACAATTGTATTGGGGTTGGCTTTCCGCAAACAAATGGAAAGGCGCGTGGCAAAATACGATAGAAAGCACGCCCCAAAACAAGATTTTAAAAACACTAACGACATCACAAATAGTTCCACTGGTTGCCTCTTTACAAGTGGTCAATGTCAAAAACAGAGCAGCAACAAGCGTTTCGCACGATTACACGACCCGTCGTTCCGCCCCTGACCACTCCGAACATTAATATTCCATTGCCAAGAGCCGTTCGGGCCCGCGACAAAGAAAAAAATCTTTGTCTGTCAAGAGAGGCCGACTCAAAATAGTCACGAATAGAAAAACATCCGTAAAAAAATGAAGATCCTCTACACTTCACGCTCCAGGCATACAGTACATGTAGGCCCCACGCTCGATGGCAGCGACGTGACAAACTGAGCCCCGACCCGCACCTTCTTTTACCACGGGCCCCCAACCGCGCTCGCTACAGATCGGGAAGTCGCGGTCTACCGGTGTTGGAACTACTACTGGTGTCGCCATCCGCGCCCGCCATGGCGTGACTCACGCTCTGCAGATCAGCAGCCGTGATGGCGGATTGATGGTCAACATTTTTCTGGCCAAGCGCGGCGGAGAGCTCTGCGCCGCTGGTGGTCGCGTGTGCAGCCGAAGAGGGGGGCGGGGCACCGGGGGCAAGGCCACGGCCATCGCGACCATGCTGCCCTTTCCCTCCGTGGGTCGACAGCCCCCACGGTCCGCCGCCACCCCCACCGCCCCCGCCCCCGCCCCCGCCACCACCATCACCGCCCCCGCGAAGCTGCTCCCCCGCGGCGGGGCTTTGAAACCTCCCGCCGCGCCATGCCTGTGACACCGTCCCCCAGGCAGGCGCCGCCGCCGCCGCCGCCGCCGCCGCCGCCTGGTCTCTCCTCGCCGCCTCTTCAAAGCCTACGGTGTCGAACAACTCGCTTGAGGGTGCAGCGGCAGACCCGACCGCATTCGCCCCCCCGTACGCTGTCGCCGCGCCAAGCTCGTACGAGCTAGCGGCGGGGGCCGGACCCGGCGGGCCGCAAAGCCCCTCCGCCCCCCCGCGCGGCTGCGACGGTGGCGGCAGCGGCGGGAGAGCGCCGAACGGCGGCGGCGGTGCTCCATGAAAGCTAGAGCCGCTCGCTTCGTGCGGAGCAGTTCGCGGGGCCCCCGACGTCGATGCCGATGCTGATGCCGGCCGTGAAACCGCCCCCTTGTTGTGGTCGAGGTAGCTCCAACCAGCCGCGGGCAGGGGCAAGCCGGGCCGGACGTCGGCGACGGCGGTGCCGACGCCCTGGGAATATCTCCTCCTCGTCAGCTGCTCGACTTGCTGCCCTCGATCTCGGAAAGGGGGGGCAGAGGGAGGCACCAGGAAATCGCCCTCACTGTGTTGGCGTGGCGCGGCACCAGCACCAGCACCGCTGCCAACGCCACCATGAGCGACGCTTACAACGGGGTAGCTGCCGCGGCTGTCGTTGTGACCACCGCTGCTCCCGGCGCCGGTCGTCGCGGTGCCGCCGCCGCTGCCGTCTGCTGAACGCGGCGCTCGCATCTTGAGGAGCTTGCGGAGGTGCGACGCGCACATGGGGAGGTCGCAGAATCGCGAGGTCGACGGCGACATGTCCTCGAACGCCGGCGTGTCCTGCTGGATCGTCTTGGCGAGCAGGTCTCTGAGGGCGTCGTAAGCATCTCTGCGTCCGTACAGTCGAAAAACCGCCATGGACAGATGAGCCACGTGGCGGTGATAGATCCTGTTTGAGATGGAGCAAGAGGGAAGAGACGGGGGGGCATGAGGTAACGCTGTCGGTTCATCCCTAACTAAACTACGCTCCGTAAAACTAAACGAAGTGCACGCCAATATGCTACAAACATTTGCTGTTGGTTAAACCGCGAAAAAGAGCCAATGGTGGTTTGAAATGCCCTGCCCATCGCTCCTCTCATGTCGGTATTCCTGCATGTATGGTGATAACTGCTGTTTAGCGGTAACCAGACTCAAACGGCGAAGAATACCCTACTATCGCGTCGCACGCGGCGGACATGGCACAACTCCAATCCTACGTTGCTCTGACCAAGGCTAAATAGCGTTATTAAGCCTTGCGTCAGCGGAGTCTAGGCGACGCCCGGACAGCACGTACTCGTGGCCTGCGCCCGAAACTATCGAAGATCAACGCTTTGTTCACCGCAAAAGTGAAGGTCATCCGTACTACGAGGAAGACGAACTGCACGGTGTCTTTCCCTACTAGCAAACGACACGAGGCTAACAATTCAAAGCAGGGCGTACTCTTATGTTTGGCATGCCTTAGCGGCTAGACCATTGACCACGCGTCCTCGAGAGGACGGAGCATTGTTCCCACAGGACCGATCACCGATGGCCAATCGTTCCTTCCTACTTTGCCAAAGGTGGCTCAAAATGTCGTCTCATCTATCCTAACGATATCCCTTCCCGCCTTTTCAAACCACTTCCTGCTCCCCAGCACAGCTACCGTCCTCTCCTCTCTATCCCATGCCTCAAACATCTCCCTGTACGTCCCTTGTATTTTTCCCAGCTCAGTCATGTACACTACCCTCTCCTTTTCGTACCACGGACATTCCGCGACTACATGAACACGGTCTTCGCATTCGAAGCCGCAATCACATCTGAACTTGTCGTCTTCGTCGTCTACCGTCCTCTGTCTTCGTCGACGTTCTCGAAGGTCCATGTCCCCGGTCCTGAATTTGACCGCAAGCTTTGTCCCTGCATCCATTAGTCCATGTAGGTAACCCTTGAACCCTGTTCCTTCTTTCAACATTCCGTACACTTCTAGACCCTCCTTATCCTTGGTTTCTTTCCTTAGATTCTGTTCTTCTCTCTCGGCACAAGCAACAGATATCTTCTCCTTGAACCCCTGTAGACCCTCCGTTTCCAGCGTTTCATATCGGCGATGTCTAACCCCTTCCATACGTCCTCTACAACCTTGACCCATTCCGTGGGTTGTCTACCCCTCGTTTTGTTTGCCCACTTCGCCTCCCAGACTATTCTCGGCAACCTCTTCTCTCCCATCCCGCACATGCGATACTGCCAAGTCAGCTTCCTTGCGTCTCTTCCCGACCGTAGGGATTGGATCCCCAATTCTGCCCTTACGGCTGAATTACTTGCGCGCTTGGACCATCCTAGGATGATTTTCGCTGCTTTCATCTGCGCCCCCTCGAGTTCTTTCACTACCTTCTTATTTCCTTCCCATACTTCTCCGGCGTACTCTAGCAGGGGGGGCGGGGGGGTGTACTCATAGTCGTGCATGCCGTAGTCGTTTGACCATTGACCTCGCATCCCTACAAAGCCGGGACGGAGCACGCCGGGTTCTCACCGGACCAGGCGCTCGCATCGCCAAGCGCGAAGCACCGTGAGGTATTTGGCGAGTCGCATGAAGGGTGAGCTGCATCCTGCTAAGGGTGTTCGGCATCTTGTGCTTACTTCCTTGCGTACGGATGACAGCTACGTATGACTTAATTTATTTTCTGGTGCTTTCACTTCCAGAGACAGTTGTAAGCACTGTGTAACTGCCTCGAGGGTGCTTGACCATTTTAACACAACGTGGTGCGATCATCCCCCGTTGCGCGGAGTGAGGTTTCTCGACCCCGCACAACATGATCTACTCGACTACCATTATGGTTACCGCCAAAAAAAAAAACAGAGGTAAAAAAAAAAAAAACGGTAACCTGGTTGCCGAGTTCACGAAGTGGATTGGCTTGTTTTACAACGTCGTTGCCAAGCGACGAAAACCCAATCCCGATGGCAAACACCGAGTGGGGGGCTTGTTTTACAACGTCGTTGCCAAGCGACGAAAACCCAAACCCCGATGGCAAACACCGGCAGGGGGGGCGGGGGGGGGGGATGACCTCCACAAGGGGTCGTCTCTCCCGAAAGTCTGTCAAGGAACGAATCCCTCTCTTCGCATTGGCAACGTCGCGGTGAGGTGTCTGATATAATTGCGGTGAGGACCATCAATACACAAGGCTGAAACTTGTGTATTGATGGTCCTGCAACGATTTGTAGGTGGGATCGGAATCGAACTCGGTTCTGTTTGCCACGCAAATCAGACATCTCACCGCGACGGTGCCAAAGTGTGAAAAGAGGGAATCCACCAAGTGCTGCAACAACGTCCTCAACGCGAACAAGGGCTTCAGCCTCACCCTCACCGGCAAGGCTGACGTGGATGGCCTACCCGCTTCGGCCTTGGTATGTATGACCAGGCTTAACCCAGAATCAAAATATGCCCGGTGTCCAGCAGGCTTTGTTCCCCACTCACTACAAGTAATACAACGATTTCAACACATCAGTCCGACTGCTGTGGTGAGATATCTCGAACGGGTAGTCTTTCAGGGGTTGTTTTCTTGTTTTTAGAGAAATGCCGATTGGAACGCACCAGGTAGAAATAAGAACAGAGGTCAATGTCTTCCAAAATCCTTGTGTTGCTCGAAAGCAAATTGTTCTTGTGTCTTTGCATTACCGGTGGGTCTTCTTCCAGCCGTATCGATTTCCACACTCCCTACACACACAGCGACTGATACACGCAAGGTGTAGTGATTTATGTGGACTTCCAACGCCTGTCAGCTGGTATTAACCACGAAAACACCAATGCTTTTTTTTATTTTTCTTAATATGACACAACGAAACCATCTCTATCATAGAAAAGAGTCTGAGACAGATTAGCAATGGATTCATAGCGTCAGAAAGTACCTGTATGTCTACGATTTCCCAGACAGCATATAGGGAAAACTTTCGAATATTTGTTTGGATGGTTGCAGGTTAGAAACAAACCCTCATTGTACCAAATGGGTCGCTCAACACGTAGACCGTTACCCGCCCTTGTCATGTGTATGATACGTAGCAGTACGTGACCAGCAGCCCCACTTGGTGCATAGCATGCTTTGGCAAAATGTGAAACTACCGGTTCAAACGATCATGAATCTTCACGAGATCAACTCCGTTCTTGAGATGTGATCAACAGCGTCGAGGCCGGTCTTGCATAGACTTCAAGACCCAACCCAACCAATGAGGTCCTGGACTCGAACGACCAACGAACATATAAAAAAAAAAACGTGTCTGTGGATATGTAGCGGCGAAATGTGCGAAGGGACCCATAAAAGTGTCTCTATTGGCAAGAGTCGGGTCGCCCGATATATTTCACACTTCACACAGCAGTAGAATAGAGTCGTTCTTATACGGGAAGTTCTCCCAACATCTTGTACGACCACTCCAGTGAGGTTGGCTGCGAAGCCAACCGATCAAAATACAACGCAATGGTCGACGACGCCCACGAAACCATGCTCTCATTTCGTGAGCAAGGAGAAAGATGGTGCTGTTTTCGTTTCACATCGCAGGCAACAACAAGGCACGATTGCATCGTGCATGTGTATGTGGATACCGCTGTGGGCAACGTCAGCAATAGACGAACGGTTCGTTGCTCAGGGCGATTGTTTCGCCCTCGCACCTCTCAGCCTCTCAGAGGGTCCGCGTGTGCAGCTTTCATGTACTTAATCGTGTAGCAGTCTCTGTATGCCTGCATGCGACAGCCACTAGGCGGACGGTCCACATACCGATCGCACGAACAGTCAGCCCACGTCAGAAAAAAACCTCCATCTGCTAGCTACTTTCTCACCTAACCAACCCGGGACATTTCCGGATCAAAGAGGAGGCAAGCTCCGCCGTGGCGAGGATGCCGTCCAGGCGACCGAGCCGTATCTGGACCCCCATCAGAGGGCCGATCAGCGCCAGCAGGGCAACCGCTCCCTTCCCCTCCTGCCTAAAGCGTCTCAGCTCGGAGGTGGCGAAGTCGTGCAAGTGCCATAGCCTCGTCCCGACATCCCCTCGGTCTCC